ATATGAATTGATCAACAAGGGGGTTCCAATTTTTCTAGATTCGATTTCCAAATTTGGTAAAATACTTGACTGTATTACATGAGACCGTTCTGGTAACACAAAATTTTAACCACGCAATTGTTGATTGACCAATTAAAATCGTGAATTTAAAAATAAAACATTTAAATGTGGGTTTGTTAACAATCACTTCATGAACAATTGTTTCATTAACAAATGGTTCGAATTCAAGAAGTTGGAAGCAACCATGTGACAAAACCTTTGAAATAGTCTAATAAATTAAATTGCACTACTTGAAAACATATTTAAAGGGTTGGTTTTTGACTTGTTGAAAAATAACTCTCTTCCTAACTCTCCTCTTGACCATATCTCTTGATATAATCAAAAATAACCTTGATATGATGAATGTTGATGAAATGATTGTAAATGCAATCATTTAAGATATACAATCAAGACAAAACATGAACGATGTATGAAAAAATCAAACAAATTCATTTAATAAAAACAAAATTTACAACTCAAAAAATGGTTTTTTTGCATGTTCTAATAAAATTTACATTGTTGTTACATCATCTGTTTTTACCAATTAGTGCTTCACTGGAATTTGAATTAACCAATCAATTGTTTATGATCAAAAACTCAATTTTTTTTTTGCTCTTATGGTAATCTATTAGCAAAGTAATCTATTAATAGTCTAATGCGTATGTATGGTGCAGGATACCTAGTCCCTACAACTTTCTGCGCCACAGAAACAGATTTGGGAAAAATTCCCAATCAAAAATGCAATAAAATTTTTACAGTCACGTGTTTTAAAATAGATTTGTCACATTGCATTCTCTTTATTAGTATCACGTGATAAAAGATCTGCAATACAGTTTTCAAAATTTTCAATTCTTCCAATTCGTTCATTTTTAATAAAAAATTTGTGTATAACATGTCACTTTGGGGGATTAACATAGTAAATTTGTTAAACTTGTGCAACTTTAAGGCTTAATTCCTCCACAACAACATGACATATCAACAAAATGAAAGTGTCATTTTGTAGAAAAGGTCTTAGTTTCAAAATGACATCTTGTTTTTTTTGGTCACGAATTTCCATTTTTGGAGGAGTTAAAGGATTTGCAAGACTAATAAAAGTGTGTCCTGCACTATATATCAAATGAAGGCTTGTGACTTAATAGATATTTAAAAAAATTAAAAAAAATTTTTTTTTTTTATTCTTTGTAAAGTTTTATTTTGAGTATTAAGATTAATAAAACAAAAAAATAGTGATGTTATTTTGGTGTATTATTATATTACATATATTGATCCGCATATATAATTTTTTATGTGTGCTCAACAGCATAATGGACATTCGAAATGTTACACTAATTTTTTATGTTGTGTACCGTAATTTTACAATACACTGTGAATGTTGTCTCAATAAAAAATTGCCGATAAAATGGATTTCAATTTGTTCGCAATTTGTTCATGAACCTAGAGAGGCAACAACTATATACTGATGAAGTTTCAGGAACAACGGACTCTGTGTAACATATTGTGTAACGACGAATGTCCACTATGCTGTGCTCAACTATGTTTGTGTTTATTATAATTTGTAACACCCCAATTTAATATGTTGCAATTCACTTTTTTTTTCAGACTTTTTCCATAAAATAATAATAATAAAAAGTCGTCATTACCAGGAAAGATATTATTTACTTGTGGCTCAATTTATTTAATCCAATAACAAACATTCCATTATACAAACATCTGTGGGATTTAAACAAGGTTGGGTATAAACAAGGGGTATATAAAAGAAGTATAAATTACCCCAATTCAAGAATAGACTTGTTTTCTTCAAAAAAAAATTTAAATAACATTGTTGAAATTGTTTTATTTATTATTATATATATTGTTAAATGAAGGATGATGGAACCTGATTATGAAAATCGTATCCCATCTGGAAAATCGGCTTCTGCAAAATTTTTTGTAACAAAGTTTCATATACATCTACCACCAACTATTTCTTATCATGGAACACCTGCTATTCTTGGTAATATGCCTGAACTTGGCTCTTGGAAAGATTCAATCATCAAGCTTCATAAAGAATCTGCAACATATTGGGTATCAAAAGAAGTTAAATTTCCCATTAGTTATGTTGAAAAAAATGTTCCAATCAGATACAAATATGCAATAATTGGCAAGTCATCATTTTTATCAAGAGGAGGTGCAATTGAGTTTGAGGGGTTGGATGAAAGAGATAATCGAATTCTAGAAAATTTTACTGAAAACCAATTTGATGTTTGGCATAATAGCAATTCATATAAATTTTATGAGAGATTTAGAGATTTTAGTTTCATTAAAGTTATACATAAATCCATAACACCAGAAAATTTTAAACACCAAGTAATGGAATATCAAAAACTACTAAAAAGATTTCGTGAATTGACTGTTACTTTTACTACAATTGAATTTATTAAGGAGTGTATGCCAATTAGTAAAGAAAGAGAAAAGAAACTTTTCTTGTGTGTTTTGCTTGGTTATTTTATTAATGAACGAAGAAACACTTCAAAATTCAATTTTTATGAGTTGCCTAATGACTTTGACTCAGGCACATTAATTGATTCCTTGACAACTGTATATGATAATACTTTTCCATCAAATACTAATGAGATTATAAAGCAAGCAGTTAATCTTTTAATCAGACATAATTTTATCAATGGTTCATTTGAATGGTTGAAAATATTTTCTGTTGCTGATGTTATTGATCCAAAACATGGCTTTCTTGATGTTCTTCTTGATGGAAAATATAAATCAAAAGGTATGGAGTTGTTTATTAAAAATGTTGAGGAACATGTCAAACCATATATTGATAATATTGAGGATATAGATATTCATGTGAAAATAGCTGAGGTAATTATTATTAATATTTTTTTTAATATGTATATATATATATATATATACACATATACATATATACATACATACATATATCTAAATAAAATCTTGTGTTAATTCTGGTTTTTTTATTTATTTATAAATAATTATATATAGCGCTTCTCAGAAGTATGTAATAGTATGCCAGCTTTATTAACAGTGTGGGATGATATAATTATTCACAGAACAGACAGACTTCAACAAATATTCTTTGACAATATCAAAAATAATCTTTCTCAAGATAACCCATATCAATTGTATCAACAAATCATAGCTCTTCCTGAAGAAATGCAAATTAAACATTTTGGAATATTTTCTCAAAAATGTTTAAGCAGAAAAAAATGGGGAAATGAGCAGATTAAATCTCTTTTGAAACAATTTAAATGGGACAAAGAAGAATTTCTTGATGCACTTGATAATATCTCTAAATCAACAGATTTGTCTTTATTACAAGTTTTTCCTGATCCATTGGAATACTGTTTTGAAACTTTCAACACCATTGAACAATCAAAAATTTTGCAAATTTGTAATCAGTGGTTTGAACAAATTTTAGATATTACTCATCAAAATAAAGCAATGTATTCCAATGATGATGAATTCATTACAATTATATTTAATATCTTATCTGAAATTTATCCTATAATTGGTGTTAGGATCAATATTTTTAATTCATTGATAGATTATGCAGTCAAAAGAATAAGTCAATTTTCAGAAAATGCTATTTATAAAGCAACATGTTCAATTGCTAAATTTCAAGAACAAATTTATGCAAGTTATTTTTTGGTGGTGAAAGAAACTTTAGAAAAATCATCAATAAGCCCCAATCAACAATTAATTCAAAGGGTTCAGGAAATTTGTGGGTGTAAAAAAGGTGATAAAAAACTCAATATTCCAAATCAATTATGTGAACTTATAATGCTTTTTATTATGAAAAAATTACAAGATCAAGTTACTTTAAATAATGACTCAGAATATTATGTCAATTTATTTCAATCCAAAAAATTTTGGATAATGATATTTAATGCAACTGGTTTGATTGAACATTTACATTCACATGAACTAGTTTCACATTATAAACAGTCAATTAATGAATTAGCAAAATTAATTTCAGATGGAAATATTAATTTCACACCATTGAAAAAATTAATTTCCAACAATGAAGATTTTATTCAATTTCTCAATTCTGCAACTACTGATAAAAAATTTGGTTCATCAGATATTGTGACAAAAAATATGCTAGATAATGTTAAAAAAGAAAGCAAAAATTATGAATATAAGTTAGATTATCTTAATGCTTTCTACCTTAGGTTTTGTCAAAGTGAAAAAGTAATCGATGCACAAGTTTACATCAATGATATAGAAGAGAAAAGAAAATCTTTATCAAAATTTACATTTAATGAAAAAATATTGAAAGCTGCAGAATCAGTTTATAAATTTGAAAAGTCTCAAACCTTTAAAAATATTTTTGAATCTAATTTGATAAAAGATGAAAGTTCTATTTTGACTATTGAAAATATAACCACTAAACTAATTCCTAAAACACTTATCGATTATGAAAAATTGTGTAAAGAGCATATAGATTGGTATAAATTATCATGTACAAAAGCTAATGATTTTTGGAAAGATGTTACGAATATAGAATTAGAACTTGAGTTAATGGAGTATTTTGTACAACCCCTTAAAGACAATAAGTTACTTGAATCAATTCAGCACCTTCCTCAAATATCTATTTATAAAGAAAGACTGAAAAATTTGAACCAGATCACTCAAAATTCACATGATAGAGGGAACAAATTCAAATTTATGTATAATGTATTAAATGAAGGACATTTATTGTTAGGAAATTTAATAGATTTTTTCAATAAAATTAAAAGAGACCTTAAAACAATAAATAATGAAAAAACTTGGAGTTTAATCAAAGAATTGTCAGAAGCAGAAGTTCTTAATAAATTTCTCAGATCAATCAATGAACAAGATATTGGGAATTTGCCTAATCAAATTTTGGATTATGTGTGGGATTATGGTATACTTCTACCAAATGATGAAAAGAAATATATTCCTGTCATGTTAGATGAACTCCCTGAAGAATTATTAAATCGTCAAGTATTGACTAAAGTTTTATTTGCTTCACAAGAGTTCATCAGAGAAGTTGAAGGACCATATAGTGTTAGTTTACGTGATGTAAAAAGGGTCATAAAGCTTATAAAATTCTTCTTTGAACATCTTAAAAATAGACCAATTAGAAAACGACTACCTGGTGAAAAAGAGCCAGTTAGATATCCACAAACTGGTGAAGGCAAACCAAGTTTGCTTATGCGTTCATACATCTTGGCTCTTGGATTATGTTATCATTCCAGATTGTATGAAAAAGAATTACGTTATAAATACAAGCAAGAAGTTGTAAAAATATTTAGTAAATATGTCACCTCATTTGATTTAAAATCATTTGATTTGATTTTAAGAGAAGAACAAGAAGATAATATAAAAAGGATGATTTGTCCACCAAATACTGCTTTTAATGAAGCATTGTTAGAAAATGTTTTGGTTATGATAGTGTGCATGTTAACCAAAATTCCATTATTCATTATTGGTTCATCTGGGTTAGTTGACTTTATTGTAAAAAAAGATAATTAGATTTATATTATCAACTGACCATCTGCCTAATAGATCTTCAAAATCCTTGGCAGTAAGGCTTGTGAGTCAAAATTTACGTGGCACAGACTCAAATGATCCTTATTTCAAAACATTGCCCCAGGTATTGATTTAGTTTATTACTCTAAAAATTTTTATCATCAAAATTATTTATTATTTGATTAAAAAACTTTTTTATAGCTATATCTCATTCCACATCGAGGATCTACATCATCTACTCCAGAAGATATCTTAAAGGTTTTTGAAAAGGCCAGTAAATATCAAGATACAAGTAGAAAAGAATTTCCTGTAGTCAGTGTTGTATTATTGGATGAAGGTGCTTTATTAATTCTTTACAAAATTAGATTTATTATATTTATATTAATAATAATAAATATTCTATAAATGTTTAGTTGGGTTGGCTGAAACCAGTCCTTTCAATCCATTAAGAGTACTTCATTCTGAACTTGAAACAAGCTATCCAGAAGATGGTCCAAAAGTTTCTATAATTGGCATTTCAAATTGGAGATTAGATAATAATAAAAGTAGTAGAGCTCTATTAGTACAAAGGTTTGTTGTATTATATTTTATTTGATTTTATTAGTTTTATTACATGAGTTATAATAAATTTATTTATAAACACACATTTAAACACATTTAATTAGACCTAAATTTGATTTGGATGATTTAGTTGATACAGCACAACATTTATTAATAAACAAAGATATTAAAAGAGCAGATTTAAAATCATTAGCTGTGACATATTCTGAATATGAACGGAATGGACAAACTCTTCCTAATTTCCATGGTCTTCAAGATTATTATGCTTTGGTTAAAAGTCTTTCATCAAAAGAAATGACTACTGATAATATTCAAATAGCATTAGCACGTAATTTTGGTGGAGCTGGAGAACATGAAGTATTATGTGAAAAATATTTTGGAGAAGTACTGAATGCATTTGATAATCATCAATATAGAATGTATAGACATATACCTGTTTTAAATTTAATCAGAGAAAGTTTTGATGATAAAAGTGCAAGACATTTAATGGTTATAGGAAAAAGTGAATCAATAATAAACATATTAAATTTTGAATTGCAACAAAAACAGTTGGATCCTGTTATAATATTAGGTTCACAATTTCCTGAAGATCAAGATGATTATTCATATAATATTTTAAATAGAATTATGGTAGGTTCAGAAAATTATTGTTATTATTTTTTTATTATTTAAATTAGTACTTATTTGACATTATTTAGATGTGTGTTGAAGCGGGAAGACCATTGATTTTAACAGATTTAGAAATCATTTATGGCAAGTAGATTTTTATTTGAAATCTTTTCTAATAATAATAGTAATAATGATAATGAATAATAATTTATTCATTAATATTTTTGTGCTTGATAGAAAGTCTTTATGATTTATGGAATCAAAATTATACCATTATGGGAAACAATAATGATTCTAAGTATTATATTAGAGTTACACTTGGCACATGTGAAGATACTATGCTGTATGTATGATAAATAAACAAATATTATTATGTTTTACTAACAAAACATTAAATATTTTATTAGACCTGTTCACAAGGACTTTAGATGCATTCTTGTTTTAGAAGAGAAAAAATTACATACTGCAGATCCATCATTTTTGAATAAATTTGAGAAGCAAAAATTAGGAATTAATGATATATTGATGGATGAGGAATTTGAACTTGTTGCTGAATTAAATGACTGGGTGAAAAAGGTTTCTACAGTTTCAGGAAAAAATAAAAAAGTTCAATCACACAATAAATTTAAACAACAAGACTTATTTATTGGTTTTGATTCCAATGAAACCATACAAAGTTTGATTATAAATATAAAAAGAAAATATCCAGATGATGACAATGAAGAAATACTTGAAAAATGCAAAGAATGTCTTGTTGCTATAGCAACTTCGGATGGTATGGTTAGATTTGAAAATTCTTTATTAAATCATGAAGAGATACTTAAATGGAAAGAATATTATTTTAAAATACAACATCATGATAGTCTTTTTGACTATTTTAATGCATTATTGAAACAAAATGATCCATATATGCCAGAAGCAGAAGGAAAACAAGTTATTGTTAATACATT